AGATAAGCCTGATATCGAAGGCGCAGTTTAGTTATGAAGGGGTTTTCTCCTACGTGGACACTGAAAGGTCCACTGTTGCTTTGGCCAAAGGTGAGCTCCTCGTTGTTGCCTAATTCGTATCGCGCGGCCGCCGGGATCTTCGAGAAGCAACCGCGTGACAGCGTGCATTTGTCACAGTCAAGTCATACGGGACTGAGGACCGGCACGCTGGCAGCCCACTTCCACCAAAAGATGAAGTCTATGAATACATAATATTTCGAGGGAGTGACATAAAGGAGATCACCGTCTCCGAGCCAACAAAACCGCATCATGGGCTGCCTCGAGATCCTGCTATTGTACAGGTGTGTTCTCGCGTTTCTCTTTTGACTTGCTTTGGGTAATCGTTATGGGGCGCGTTTGAGATGTTAAAAAGAAATGCCGAAGGGCAATATTTGATATCCTCTATATATTTTCAGCTACGTGTTTGTTTTTGTGATCCCCGCGAGTAGGAGAATTCAGTGCAGTTGTAGACGCGCGATTCTTTCTTTGTTTTTTTTTCCACTATTACCTTCAATTAACTATAACTAAATTTAAACTGAAGTGAGGTAAAATCAGACTAATTTTGCACTGCTCTGACCAGTGAAGACCAGCTGCTCAGTTACTTGAGGCCCGATTAACTGTGATGTCACTTTCAGCAGGCAGAAAGTGAGTGACAAAACGGCCACCCTCTGAGATCGCTAAAAAAGGATGGATTTTGCTGCTTAAATCATATTCCACAAACGCAATATGATTCAGAATGCAAATCCTCACCGTATTCTGTCACCAGGAGTATTGATTATTACCAGCAGTTGTCAACTTGTGCACAGTTGCGCTTGCGTCTAACGCGGAAAATGAGCGTAGTGGTGCATGGTCCTTATCGCCCAAGTGCTCAAATGGCTTTGCGGCAAGGTAATCGAAGCCCTTTCAACACTTATTTGATGTCCATCATGAGAGAGACGACGGGTGGATGTTTTATTAATCTCATGGGAGAACTTGTAGTTGAATGTGGTGAGAGAAAAAAAATGTAGTGCGCTAGTATCCTCGAAAAGTTTTTTTTTTTTTTTAACGGCAACAGGCGCACGCTTGACTGGGTGGAGGGGCATGAATCGGGGATAGCTTCGACTAGACTCAAGAGATTCATACCGCAACGGCGGGACCATGGAAAAGAACATGGTCCCATGCAAAGTGAGGCTTGGTCGCCAGATGACGCTGTCCAATACTCTGTCATGACTTCTTTAAATGACCGTTTCTTTTTTTAATTAAATAACTCGCTATAGTCATGGTCATGCCAGGGCCTGCTTATAGTGGATATCGACTAAATGTTCAGCTTTCCATATGTCTCCTCTTTTGCCGTTGGAAGTCATCTCTCGGGAGCTCCCCTGGTGGATATCGGCCACGCTGGAGCCCTTACCAAGACGTGATGCCCACCTACAATCAGCTGGCTCCCGGCTCTCTCCTCAACCAGCAGTACGGCGCAGTGCAGGGTCTAGGTACGGTAGTCATCCACTTGCGCGTCTTTCTGCCGTCTGTCTGTGTCACAGTTTTATCGTGCGGTTCCAGGGTTCCACGGTATCCCCGCCAGAAGAGCTCCGATGGTCGAGCAAGCCGTTCAGACGGTTCCTTTGGCCAGCAGTGCTCAGAAAAAGGGGAAATCCTCAACTCAGCCGCAGCAGCTCAGACAGACTGTTCGTCCAGCCCAGCACGCCGTCTCCCAGGTTCAGAAAGAGAATGTCCCCAACAGTAAGATTATTTCAGATTATTTTTGGGGGTTTTTTTTGTAATTAGATCACTCACTCCTCTGAATCTCCATTTCTTGTTACGCTGAGTTAAATCGAATGCTTTTCTTCTAGATCAAACCGCATCCCAGCCAAGTGAAAGCAAAACACAAGGCCGAAGCACTGAGAATAAAAAACAAAGGCGAAAACAAGGTAACCTAACATCGAACTATCTCGGCTATTTGCAAGATTTAGCCAAATCATCGTTCCAAACAACAGCAAATGCTTTTGTTTTGGGGTTTGTTTGTTTTTTTGTGTGCGCTTGCACGCGCCTGTCTGTGTTCCTGTGCAGGAAGCCGCAGGTCCAGAGTTTTTTTGTAACTGGATAGCTCACTCATCTGAATCTCAATCTCTTGTTACGTTGAGGTAAATCGAATGCTTTTCTTCCAGATCAAACCGCATCCCAGCCAAGTGAAAGCAAAACGCAAGGTCGAAGCACTGAGAATAAAAAACAAAGGCGAAAACAAGGTAACCTAACATCGAACTATTTCGGCTATTTGCAAGATTTAGCCAAATCATAGTTCCAAACAACAGCAAATGTTTTTGTTTTGGGGTTTGTTTGTTTTTTGTCTGTGTTCCTGTGCAGGAAGCCGCAGGTCCAGGAACTGGAGCAGGGGCCAATTACTTGTGAAGAATTCAAAATCCAACACTCTGAAGTTTGAGTCAGACTTTGATTTTGAATCGGCAAACGCTCAGTTTAAAGATGATCTCACAAAGGAGGTTGTAGGTGGGTTCATTTCACATCTACGGTGAGCTGCCGCATGTTTGCGCTCAAGCGTATGCAACTTTGCCATTTGTGTTTCATTTTATTTATTTTTTGTGTGGAAGGGACCTATCCTGTTATTTGGCTTGCAAACTGACCTATTCCGCTTTTGCTCACAGCCCAAAGAAATATTGCGATGGTGGCCCGATTAACTGTGATGTCACTTTCAGCAGGCAGAAAGTGAGTGACAAAACGGCCACCCTCTGAGATCGCTAAAAAAGGATGGATTTTGCTGCTTAAATCATATTCCACAAACGCAATATGATTCAGAATGCAAATCCTCACCGTATTCTGTCACCAGGAGTATTGATTATTACCAGCAGTTGTCAACTTGTGCACAGTTGCGCTTGCGTCTAACGCGGAAAATGAGCGTAGTGGTGCATGGTCCTTATCGCCCAAGTGCTCAAATGGCTTTGCGGCAAGGTAATCGAAGCCCTTTCAACACTTATTTGATGTCCATCATGAGAGAGACGACGGGTGGATGTTTTATTAATCTCATGGGAGAACTTGTAGTTGAATGTGGTGAGAGAAAAAATTCCTTTTTTTTTTTTTCCCCAGCACCATTGTGACCTCCATTGGCAGTTACCGTTTAGTCTAAACCTATTTTGAGCTTGACAATGATTTTTCGCGTAGCGTGGCAGGACTCTGCCCCGATTCCCCCACGAAGAGATTCACTGTAGAAGTTCAATAATATTCATACGAAGCAAATGTTGATCCGTTTCGATCTCCTCGCCACAGTTCAGGCCTCCTCCTTGGAGGCCCCTGAGACCGCATGTACACAGGAGGAGGACACGCCCAACAGCCCAAAGAAATATTGCGATGGTGGCATCTTGGTGGTTAAGGGAGTTGGGCTTAATTCCCTTTTTTTTCCCCCCCAGCACTATTGTGGCCTCCATTGGCAGTTACCGTTTAGTCTAAACCTATTTTGAGCTTGACAATGATTTTTCGCGTAGCGTGGCAGGACTCTGCCCCGATTCCCCCACGAAGAGATTCACTGTAGAAGTTCAATAATATTCATACGAAGCAAATGTTGATCCGTTTCGATCTCCTCGCCACAGTTCAGGCCTCCTCATTGGAGGCCCCTGAGAGCGCGCGTACACAGGAGGAGGACACGCCCGGTGAGAAGTACTACGACAAGAGTAAGGGCTTCTTTGACAACATCTCTGCAGACATGAAGCCCAGGTGAGGATGGGGTCTCCCCCAACCCCCTCCTCTCGCACCGCGTATCAAATTGATGTGGTCATCGTTTGTGAGCGTCTTCAGGAGGACCACGTGGGCAGAGGAGAAAAAGTTGAACCTGGAGACTTTCGGCGTACAGGGGCGATTCCTGAGAGGCAGAGGATTCCGGGGGCGGGGCCGCAAAGGGCTGAAAAAAGCTGAACAGCGACCCCTCCCCAAAATTGATGGCGGCAGAGTGTGAAAGTTTTGACATTTATGTTCTGTAAATAGAGGTTGTAGTTTTCTACTCATTTAAGAAGTGCCTCCTCCTTTTTCAATTTGAAGCATTCAAAGTACGTTTTTTTTTCTTTACTCTGTATTTACGGGAATACTGTACATTTTCTAGAATGTAAAACGGGAGAGAAGTTTATTTTTTATTCCAGCAGCCGCATACCAAAGGAATGTGTTCATTTGTAGTTGAGCAAGCAATGCCAGACATGTCCTGCAACAGAGTATCGGGCATGCAATTTAATTTTGTCTGAATGTTTTGGGTTTTTTTTTTCCTGCGCTTGACTGTCCGCAGCCATCCAAACTGGTCTGAAAGGTTATTCTCAAGTGGAATGGATAGTCGACTGGACTTTGTTTTCTCCAACCGATAATGTTTGTGAAACAAGTGTAGCAGTTGCAATTAAATGGGATTAAGCTGCGCATTTGTTTTGAAATCACTCTGCACAAGACACATTCTCTTCCAATTTGCACACAATTGCCACTGGATGGGATTTATGATGAAGCTGCGTTGCAAATCCACGCTAGACGCTCAACCAGATTTTGCCGCATAAGGAACGATGCTCTCCATCTCAGACTTGATCACGGTCGCCGCCATCGATGTGGCAGTGCAGCTCATCACCTGTCAGCGACTGGAGCAAGAGAAGCCTCTGCCCCAAGCAGAAAAATAGGGGGGGTGGTGTTCTTTGCTGACAACAAAGAACACGATTAGCAAAATCTGAAAATTTTAATTGGGGGAGAAATGTTACTTTAACAGAGCTAGCCGTGTATTGTTCATTTGCGGTTCCCTGCTGCATTAATGCCGTAGAAAACAAAATTGTCATCATACATAAAACGAGTTCAATAGGGGTGACATTTTATGACCGCGTTTCATGATCTGAAGCAACGGGTCAAACCAGTCGGTGTTCACAGTCCATCGTTCCGACCTCCAAAATACACCCATAAAACTCGCCTACAGCAGTCCAAAGATTGGGACAGTGACGTCTGCGGGGTCGAGTGACAGTTTTCATGGCTGCGGGTGGCGATCTGATGAGGGGAGCCTACTGCCTACATAGACGCTCAAGTCAGACTTTCCTCCGCGGTCTCTGGTGGTGGCGGCGCCGCTATTCTGTTGACGCTGTTGGTACATGAGACGCAATCTTGGGAAATGACTCCACAAGGGTCACCTGGATTGGCGTTGTTCATCTGGCTGTCAGAAGAAGAATTTGAAGAAGTGGACGAAACGCGGGATTTGGAGTCAAGACCCTCAAGGACATGTCGAAGGAGTCCATTCGCGATGACTCCCTCTGCGTTGTTGTTTCCGTTGGCTTTAAGTTTGAAGAACTAAAGGTGAGCGGTGCATTTGCATCGTCACATTCAGCAAATCCAAGTCCATTACCTGATGCCGTGGAGTTCAGGGCATTGTCTTCTCCTCCGGCGCTCAAGAAGACTTCCAAAGCCTCCTGGTCAGGGATGTCAATCAGCTCCATCTGTTCCAGCATGTCCACATTGACTTCCATCGATGAGATGCTACCGATAGGTGCTACCAAGAGAGCGGAAGTTAGGAGTGGACATGTCAGTGCATAGAACCTTTTTTTTTTTTTGCCATTCCAGCTCACGTCTCGTGTAATCTCGAAGAGAAAGGTGCGCCGAGGACAGGTAGACGTCCACATCGTGTTGGAAGACTTCCTCGAAGAAGCGCTGCCTCTCTCTTCCTTTCAGATGGTGGCCCGCGTCCGTATCTGGAATCCTCTGACCTCGTTCGGCCTCCGCTGGAAATGCAGACATGAAGGTAGACGGCAGGGGATTCCGGTTAACCGATGCAATATCATTTTAGGATGGACTGCAATCCATCACAAGCGTGGATTTCATCACTCCGGTGGCCAGCAACTCAAATCGGTACCGAAGTGCTCGCCCGTGTATTTAGATCGGGAAATGTGCCTCTGCTGCACAGCAATCATGACGATGATATCAGGGACGTTATTGGGTTTGAAATTTAGAAGAGTTTTGCATATTCATGATGAGTTTATTTATTTTTTTTACTCTGTACAATTAGGCGAGGCCCTGTCTTGAATGACGAGGTAGACACACGCGTTTTCTATTACAGTATATATATTTGACCGTGAGTTCCACCATCAGCAACGTGGGGAAGGAGCTTTAAACATTTCGTAACATTCCACGCATGCGCAGTCGATGGCAATACAAGGTGCGGGAAGTCTGTGCATCCAAACAACATACAAACAACTAATGTGGTTAATACACCACAACCGGCATGTCTACGGCATGAAAGAAGTGGACTCCGTCCGATCATAGAATGTCATTCTTCCAAATGTCCACCGAAGCCCACAGCAGCACAAGTGCAAACCGTCGACGACCAGAAGGGGGAGACGTTGACGTGAAAAGTGAACTGCCGAAGGAATGCCAGTCTCGGCGAACTTCCAACGACTTCGTGCGCACTTGGTAACTATTTTATGCACACCGTGTAGTTGTCCATGCGCACCAAGTCGTAGTTTGTGCCCACAAAGTAGTTCCTCATGCGTACATAATAGTTACAGAGTGTGCACAAAGTATTTTTTTTTCCCCATATGTCAGGTTTAGGGCTCTGGATAGTTCAGTCGTTTTGATCGAATGTGAGATAAATATTTTCTGAACATTGCAATAAAATAGATGATGTATCAAAGACAATATAATCCACATACATTTAGTAATTGACAGATTAACATACTATACTGTTCACTAAACATCCATCGCTATCCATCTTATTAGTCTTTCTTTTTGCATTTTGTTTGATAGCCTTATTGATTAGCTCCCCTTTTCGCTTTTTTTCCTTGCCGTCTAATTTCTTCTCTTTGCATGCATCTTTCTGTTGTCATTCTCTCCTTCATGTATGGCTGATCCTTTTTGCGATGTTTCCTCTGTGGCCTTTCTCTTCCCTCAGCATGCGCTTTGGGAGTAGAGAAAGAGAAGGTCATTGACGAGGACTCGGGACCAGCTGCAAATGCGGAGTGACAGGAACAGGCAGAAAGACATGTCAGCGCGACATTCTGCCTTTGCACAAAAAGCCGGACAACCAATTCAAGGGGGAGCTGATTCGGAGTTGCATAAAAGTGAAGAGAAGTGACCTGGATTGTCCCGGCACGAACCAAGTTGGAGGAAACCACTCAAGGTGGAGTGCAGCATGAATCAATCGAACCTCTTTGACTTTCTTTTGACTTTCTCAGAGTGGAGAATCAAAACCGTTCTCTTTTTTTTTTTTGTTCCTACTTCGTGAAGGCAAACTCTTGTGGGAGACACAAGAGTTTGTGAACAAATTGTCTGCAAATGATTAAAAGCATCATGCCCACGTAAAATGAAATACTTTCTTCATTGCCCATCTCTGGTTCGGTGTAACCAAGTGAGGTCGCGCCAGCACGTGCGTCCCCCTTTTTCAAGGGCGTGAACAAAAACAGATTGTCCAACATGAGTGACTTGCGGTATTTTATTCACAATGACTGCAGGGGTTCCGTCAAGGGTCACGTCACGCACCAGATACCTTTCAGCCCGCTTTTCCACAGCCCAGCAACTACATCCAGACAGTGTTAGCCGTCAAGATTTTTCCCTGCACCAAATGGCCAACCTAATTTAGGACCGTTTGTAGGTCATCGTCTTGCCCCGCTGCCCTCCGCAAGCCCCGGAGAGCCACATCCGCTGTTTTAGCTGCAGTTCCAAATCCACTTATCCAGACTGACTGGTTCACTAAGGACTTGTGCGATCTCAAGGGCCCGTTTCTGTAAACAGACAGTTTGGCTGAAGCTTGGGAAACCCCAAATACTGTCCTAATCGTCACAGATATTTTAGTGTTGGGGGGGAGGGGGGGAATACCTTCAGCAACTTTATGAGATAAGTGTAAAGGCTTGACAGCAAGCGTGGAATTGGACTTTATTCCTTTCAAGCTGTTTTTAGTGCCGTGCAGTGAGACAGAAAACGTCATCACCAAGTCAGGCCAGTCAACAATAACAGAAGCAGTGACTCTTTTTTTTTCTCCTTTCATTCTTTTTTTTTTTTTTAACAGATGGCTGTTTCCTTTCGGGGCCAATGCACTCACGAGGCCGTCATGAGTCATGGTGAGCAATTAAAGTGGAGAGACTTTTTTAAGTTCCCATTGAAAATGTGCCTTTCAGATCCACTTTGGTGGCGTCTCAAGGCAAAATCATACGACTGGGTATGTCACGTGAGGAGAGGCATTTGGACCCAGATGCAGACATGACTCGGAAGTTGAAAGGTGAAAATTGACGAAAATACACAGTAACTACAATGAGCAGGGCTGAATGCAGAAAACAGAAGAAAGCTGAAACTCAAGGTCGACATACTGACAGGCATGCCACTGAGTAATCCAAGCTTATATAGTGCAAGACATCAGGCCCGTATGACGTAATAATGGTGACATCATGAAGGCCCGCAGCGACTGCATAGCAACCGCAACTACAATTGATTCATCAAGGAACAACCAGTCACTGTGGTGACAACAGTGTCAGCACGTCGAGCCATTTACCGGTCAGAGTGTCAACTTTCTTCTGCGTCTTCTGCCTCTAGCCCTTCCCTCTGTAGTTACTTTGTATTTTTGTCGAAAAAGGCCTTTACTTTCGACTTCCGATTCATGTCTGCTTCTGGGTCCCAATTCCGCTCCTAACGTGACACAGTATAATTGTTCAAATACTTACGGACACAAGTCTGAAGAAACAATGTGCTCTTCTACTGTTAAAATCTCCCCCCCTCCCCCCCACACTCCCCTCCGCCCCCTCCTCCTGACAGCATACTCCGAAATATTTTACAGCAGCTGGCAAAACTTCCTTCGACAACACGCCCAAGTGCAGCTCCTTCACATGTTCCCACAATAACGAGGACGCAGCCAGGTCAAGTACGGAGACTTGGAACAGTGTGGCAGATGGTCGACTGCTCGGTGGAGTCGCGGCCTGATCCTTTTTAGCCTTGTCTAATCGCACAAGTTCACTCTCAGGCCTGTGTCAGTCCTCACCGAGGGGGCGTGTTTGAGGAACAAAACCAAGGCACTCTGATGGCATCCCGTAATCCCATTAGAAATAGGAGGTCACGGATGGGGGTGGGGTGACCTATTCACATGGAATTAGCGAACATTACTCAGGCTGATGATTCACCATTCCTGTCTGGTCTGAGCTGCCGGTCCACACTCTTCAGTGGCGTCACTTCAAGCGGCGTCAACGCAGCTGTGGCTCTTCAACGCACGGGATGAGCTGTCACGCCGCCTCGCACAATCACGTCCCTCTCCCTGAACCGCTTCACACGCGTGATCAAATCCGATGTTGTCGCAAGGACATCGAGTTCGCCGTCATGACCGCAAAAGTAGAAATTTACCACGAGGGGCTAAATGTGCACAGGATGGGTTGACAAAAAGCTAAGTCATGTTATTCTGATGAATGGATTGCAGAAATGTTTTTTTTTGTATCACTTTTTTTTGTCATGAACACAAACATCGCCCCCACGTGCAGAAGTTGTCACTCACTCTGTATTTTGAGGCAAGGACTCCTTCACACCCTGACATTGAAAAACACCGCCTCCCTGCTAAAAGAACCGCCACCCAGCTCATCCCAAGCCCTTCCACGGAAGAATTGCGTCCTTCCGAGGCTGAGAAGTTGAAAGAATGACTTACGAGGCAGGCGTTGGCTGCGAAGGCTGCCCGATGAGGAGCTCATGATATCGATGATGCTGACGCTGTCTTAGCCCTGCCGGCGTTCAGCAGAGAGGGTGCCGATCATCTCCCACTGCCTCTGCGTCCCAGAGCAATCGATGCCGACTGCCACGGTGAAATCTTTTCCCTTTTTCTCCTCAGTGGATTGCGAGCCCGTCGGACGGGGTGGGTGGGAAACAAGTTTGGGGCTTTGTGAAGTCCCATCAGCTGACCAATGACAGCGAGGAGGCAGGGAGGGGCTGAGCAGCAGGAAGGGATTGATAAGAGGGATTTTATGTCATCAAGTGGAAAATACCGTGAAGAGACTCAGAGTTATTCTCGTCTTGCAGCACCGGACCCGCTTCTCCTTTCTCTCTCTGTTGTTTTTTTCCCCTCCTTTCTCCAGCTCTTTAACCATGCTCTCAAGATCAACTGAGTAACACGAATACACTTTGCATGTGCCCCCCCCCTCCAAAAAAATGCACGTAATTTTTTGTGAGACTAATATCCATACAAAACAGATTGCGTTCAAATCGTAGTAGGCCTCCTCATAAACCAGTTTAGGGACTTGTTTCCGCATCTGTCTGAAAGAAAACATTTAAAAAACAAAAACACCTGCTGCCACTGAAGCTGGCGAGGACCGAGTGCAACAATTGTATCGAGCATTTGAAAGGAATGAAATCAAATATTTATGGACCTGGAGGGAAAAAAGGTGCAGAATATGTCCTGTTGGAACAGTGACCAAAATGCATCAGCATGAAACAAACAATATTTGTCACGGTTCTGTTTGTGACCAACAGGTGGCACCGTAGGGCTCCACCTGCAGCGGCACACCTATTGGTCATTTTGTCATTAGTTGTATTAAAGAAAGGTCATGACCTCTAGCCTGTATTTGAATAACCAACATCCTCATCGTCCGAAATTAACGAACACGCGGAGGAAGAGTAAGGTCAACTCCGATTTTGCTGTATTTATGATCCTCTTGTTGTATGTTGTCTTGAGAGGATAGAAATTTCATCTGTGCTGTACAGCACATTTGACAATAAAGTTGTACTTGATACTTGATGATGCCATATGAGTACAATAAAAGTGACACAATATATTTTTATCCATTTATTTTATTGAATAAACCTGGAGTGCAAATCTTCTGATGTAATTATGTTCATTGTTCATGCATAGTTTTCATTTACCCTTTAAATATTAATTATACTTTTGAGTATCAGAAGTCTTGATGATGAATATCAGTCAAAACAGAAAAATGGGTTCCCATAATGAACCCAAAATTAGTTACCGTGGTTTCCCATCGGGTAATCCAACGGAACCGGAAAAAAACGGTTTCTGTTCATTTCTGAACTCCTCCGGCCTGTAAGTGCATCAGCGTGAGCTCAGGACTGAATCCTCCAATTCCAAAAAGAACAACACCACCCCCTTGTGTAGACCTTTGCAAGCTGCTTTGCAACCATCCATCCAGCCTTGTTCTCTTGCGCTCAAAGGGTCACGGGTCACCTGCGGCCTTTCCGGGGTGATTTAGGGAGACTGCTCACCTGTCACCCCGAGAGTTTCGAGAGTCAGTCACGCACAAAAGATACACCGACGGCCAATTTCAAGTCAAAAGAGCCTCGTGGGGCAGCGTGTCTGGAAAATGATGAGACCAGAATAAGATGTTCAGGAGCAAGGAAGAGGATTTTGTGTGACGACGATGGCTCACCAAGCAGTGCTCATATTGTAATCCTAAACCAAGCACACGAGTTTTAACATCTCCTTGCTAACGACTCTTGTGTTGGGAGTTAGTGATCAAGACACACGCACACACGCACGCACACACACACACAACAAGATCATAGCTTCCAGCTGTACCTTTTTCGTGTTTATTAGACTTCTAAGGAAACGTGACAATGGACAGAGCAGACGCATAGCCGCTGCCATCTGCGCTATGGGAGACGGTGCAAAACGTCATGTGAAAATTCATTCGCAAGATGGTCACTCTTTCATAAGCGGATATAAATAGGCAACAAAGGAACTGAAGCTTTCATTCAGGTCCAAAGATGATTTACAGTCTCGGCTGCCATTCCTCACCTCGGCAGACAGGTCGCCGAACATCGACACGTTACTCAGTCTCACTGGGCAAAACTTTGGTCGCGGGGCTTCCAGAGCTGCACTGAAATGCATGCCAATAAGCAGTTTGAAATCCCCTTTTTGTGTAACCGATGGTCAGCTGCTGGTCATAAATACAGTCCCACAGATAAAAGCCTCCTCCCTGACATAGAGAGTAAACCATTTCTTGCTTCCTCCCCCTTTTTTTTTTTTTTTTTGTAAACATCCCTCCTAAATGAACTCATGCTGTATAATGGACGAGCAGCGGTCAGTGGCAGCCGCAGGCTCTGACCACCATGTTGCGGTACTTCTTTAGGATGACGTTGGAGCTGTCGTCAAAGTAGAGGACGGAGATGCCGTGGAGTTGCGTGGGAGCGCAGCAGGGCTTGGGCACCGTTCCCGGGTTGATAAAGTGCACCTGCGTTGAGAAGACACAGCAATCAATTGACGCGCTTTGTCACAGAGCCTGACCTTTGCGGCGAAAGCGGCCGTCGTCAGACCGACCAGAGTTTGCACAATGGCGTGGTTTGTGGCGTTCATGTAGGAATTGAGTGGGAAGGCGCACTCGCCCTCGCAGTAGTACGCCGCGTAGCCCTCTGGTGCAATGATCCAGTCCTCAAGGCAATAAAAGAGGAATATCCAGTTACATTACTAGAAAGCATACGTAAAACAGAGCACAAGTAGAAGTAAAATTATTGTACACCTTACCTGCCATCCCAAATCCCTGAAACTGACATACAGCTCGCGTTTCTTACATCCATCTTTCGATATGCCGAGATCTAACATTGGAAATGTTAAGATATGAGCAATCACACATTTTTACAAAAACATACAGGGGAATTTATGCTAGCTTTAAGCTAGGAACAGCAAAACTATACATAAAAAAATTCACCCATGAAATATTTCACACTGTCATCACTCCATAAATAATTTTACACCGAACATACGCTGGTAAATCTTTTCATCGCTCCTGTATGCTTCACGCGAGAGTTGTCTTTTGTGTATTTTAATTAGAAGCCAGCATTTTAATTCGCTACGTGTGATTGTATGATTAGTTTAGCCATTGTCTTACTATCATCGATGTAAAAAGCATATTTAATATATAATTATTTAACACAGTCCAAGCTCGTTCCAGCGTACCTCGAGGGACATCACAAATCTGTACGTGATAACGGTCGTTTCCAATAAAATGGCCGCCACCTACGATGTATAATACAGTAGGAACACTGATAGATGTCAAAACATGAACATGCAATGCAGTTTAAACATGTCAATTACAATTACGTGAAAATGAAGAAAACGTGATTTTATGAGACAAACGTCGACAGCGTTTCTGTCGAAATTGTGATTGCTGAAATTGACGATTGTCGAAATCGTCGACTTTGCCAATTCGTAGTCTCGGCTGAGCTTTGTCTGGGAGACTCCCTTTCCAAAGTGAGAGACAGTTTCAGCCTTCGCAGACAGTGTTGACCAGACGTGCTTTCAGACCGTGTGCGGTGTGCCTCCGGAAGTAGAACGATGTAGCGAGTCGATCTGGAGTGTTGCTCAGCAACGGAGGGGAATCCCGTGCTGTGCATTTTGGTCATAAATAAGGTCGCAGCAGCAGTTCACTATTTTGTGGGGAAAATCTAGTCATTCTAATGACGTTTACGTTACCAAGGTATTCGCTGTCAGCAAAACGGGCATATGGGAAATGAATTATGTGAACGTCATAGGGGTGGAAACGTAAACGGGGGTCGTTGTATGCACTGTATGTCATTTAACCCTTTGGAAAATTGCTGGTGAAAGAACTTAAAATGACGACACGATACGATCAAATGACTTTACGAAAGGTGTTTTTCTCTTTTTAAATGACAACATCGTATTGTGATGTTTTGTTGTAATTCATTCGTGTCATTCTTTGACGTGACACTGAAGTGTGTTCTTTTTTTCTTTTCTTTTTTCATTGGTGTGAACTACTGTCGAAATTGAGCACGTGCGAGGTGGATACCTGTTGCGGCCTCGACAGCCTTCAGTGCATCTTGGACAGTCTTGTGCGGCTTGGAGCGGTTGGAGTGGCGCCCCCTGTGGCCGTGGGCCGAGCGGATGTGGCGAAAGCGAACCTCGCTGGATTTAAAGAAGGCGACCAGAAAGGCTTGCTTCTCTTGGACTCCGCTGCCAGTGAACAACCCGGCCAGTCGAGGGGTCCTCCTAAAGCCTGCAGTGGAATGGAGTGAGCAACAGGGGGAGCAATGGGGGTTTTGGAGCTTTTTGCTTTTCGGCTTTAATAAGCCCTAGTCTCCAACTGACAAACAAATTCCTTGTCTGTTTTGACGGGCAAATGACAGGGCCGATGACTTCCAGTGGTCTTGAGCACATGAACATCGTGTGACGCAGTAAGCAAACTTTGTGTGTGGTCAATAATGTCTCATGTTGACTGACCATGGTTGTCTTCCAGGACCAGTTGCAGGCCAAGGTTGTGATCAGGGTTGGCCAGCCAAAGATTACTGGTGGCGGTCAGGTCAAAGATGAGCCAGCCTTCCTCTGCGGCCCACACCTCTCGCTGGTCCACCAGCAACAGATCCACTTTGCTGCAAGAAATTGATGAAAAGATGAATGGACGATAATGACCCTGGTGAAATTCATGCATCGATCCGTTATCCGAGCCGCTTGTCCTCACGAGGGTCGCGGGCGTGCTGGAGCCCATCCCGGCCGTCTTCGGGCAGTAAGCGGGGGACACCCTCAACTCGTTGCCAGCCAATCGCAGGGTACGCACAGACCAACGTTCGTTTGCGGCCACAGCAGGGGGGGTCTAGGCAGGAGCAAATAAAATGTGCCCCCCCCAAACTAAATTCCCCCAAATATATTATACTTCACATATTTTTATGATCTCATGCCTCTCTCCACCGCACCACTTCTTACTGTCGTAATGCCTTGCTTATTTCTTTTTTTTCAGTTGATGACAGGATGCCAATACGCCTGGGTCTTTGTTTTGGACATGTTTTTGACATACCTTTTGGTCTCATCCAGTAGACCTAAGTAACAGTTAAATTGTTTGTTTGTTTTTTCTGGGCTAATGGCCTTTGTTTAATTCTTTAATTTTATTTAAAATATATAGATTTAAATAAATAAATAAAAACATCCTCTAAGGGTATTATAACAAATTAAAAAATATGAAAAAAAATTCAAAAACATCCTCCTAAGGGTATTATAAAAAAAAAAAAAACATCCTTTGAGGGATTGACACCTTATCGAGGTCAGCAGGTTTGAGTGCCTCAGTGACCCTCAGAGCTACACCAACAGAAGCTGGCCTTCACAGGGACACCCAAGTTGGGAAGGTCTTATGTTAGAGGCCTGACAAAGTGCGGTCAGTTTTGGCTGAGGGTAGGGCAGGCAACAACAATAACTACAGTAAAATAAATGTGCCAAGCATTTGGGACCACAGTGCTTTAGAAGGCACTTGTTGAGTGTAGCCGCATCCAAGTGAGTGAATTTGTCAGTGAGACACGCTCAAAGGTCCTGGAGCGCAATGTTGCCTCAAGATTTGCGGATTTGCGGCTGCCTCCTCATCCATCCGGCCTCGGCTCCCAATCACAACCGGGGCCAATGTGATGGCTTTCCTCACAACCTTGAAATGAACACTCACACCCACTACTTGAGCAAAATGGCTGGATTTCGTCTCACTCCAACAGTCAACGTGTCCTCGTAAAGGCTGATTTCACAGACAATAGCTTTGTTTACCGAGTGGTTTTTCGACCCTCAAGCAGACGTCTGTCTTTTGTTCTGACGCCTGCTCGTCTGCGCTAAGTGGCCTTGATGTCAGGCCCGCCGCCTGCGAATAATGACAATGGTCTTGCCCTCGTCGGTGTCGTCAGCCTCACTGTCACCGATGAAAGACCCCTCCCCTCCCCGTCCTCCACCGTTTCCCTCCAACATGCGGGGAGAAACAAGTCGAGTGGGCTGACTTGAAAATGCGGCAAAGCGGCCCTTTGCAGTCATTGTGTAATAAAATCAAAACATCAGCATCGCAGTTTGATGTTGGGATAATGATGAGATTCACAAGTACTATCAGTGGCAGCTTGTCAATCGAGGGCACTAGGCCGTCCACAAGGACCACATGAGTGACCCCCCGGGCCTGTTCTAAAAATAGCTCACAAGTGATGCGGCACTCTGATATTCTTCGAATGTTATCTTTGCTTAATCGATTTATTTTTTTTCAGGCTTTTCTTGATTACAATGTCATGTATTATTGATTTAAAACTCAATTCATAACAACTGCTGTACATAAAATGATAAAAGAGTTGAAAGAATTATACAATCATAAATAATGTTACCTTCTAATTAAAATATACAATCGATGCCTTGACCTGAAGCATAGACGAGCTGCAGTTTTATACTATCTTGTTGCCTATTGTGCAAAATGATTTACTGCTACGGACAGACAGACAGATAGATAGCTCGATACACGCAGATAGACAGCTAGCTAGACAGCTAGCTAGCTAGACAGACAGACAGACAGACAGACAGACAGACAGACAGACAGACAGACAGACAGACAGACAGACAGATAGATAGATAGATAGATAGATAGACAGACAGACAGACAGACAGACAGACAGACAGACAGACAGACAGACAGACAGACAGACAGA